CGCCCCTGGGCCGCCAACACTCGGCCGTGTCGCCCGGGGTCGCTCACGGCCCCGCCGCCGCTGCCGCCGCCGCGCTCTACCAGACCTCCTATCCGCTGCCCGACCCCAGGCAGTTCCACTGCATCTCAGTGGGTAAGCCAGGCCGCCGCGCAGGGGGGACAGGGCAGACTAAAGTTGGCCAGGCAGGGATAAGGGAAGGGGATCCTGGGCGTTCTGGGGGCGGAGGGTCATGTCGGGCCCTTAAGGGTGACAATCCGGGTGGTGTGCAGCTGAAGGGACGGGACTGGACTCCGGGAGGGAGAGTGAGGCAGAAGGTCCTGGCGGGGGCTCTCAGGAGGGAGCGAGGGCTGGGGCTCTGGGCGCTCCATAAAGGAGTACGGAGGCCGCGTGACTCCGGGAGTACCTGTATCCCGAGGCTTGGCGAGCAGGCGCCCGCTGTTACGCTGCTGTGCATTCTGTTTCGGGGCAAAGAGGTGGGTGAGAGACCGAAGTTCCGGGATTCTGACGGCCGCCTACCGGAGGATCGGGCCCACAACACAAGGGTCTGATCTCTTTCCTCTCTGCACCCCCACCCCCTCTAGATAGCAGCTCGAGCCAGCTGCCCAGCAGCAAGAGGATGCGCACGGCGTTCACGAGCACGCAGCTGCTAGAGCTGGAGCGAGAGTTCGCCTCAAACATGTACCTGTCCCGCCTGCGCCGCATCGAGATCGCGACCTACCTGAATCTGTCCGAGAAGCAGGTGAAGATTTGGTTCCAGAACCGCCGGGTGAAGCACAAGAAGGAGGGCAAAGGCAGCAACCACCGCGGCGGCAGCGGAAGCGCGGGTGCCGGCGGGGGCGCACCGCAAGGCTGCAAGTGCGCGTCGCTCTCCTCAGCCAAGTGTTCCGAGGATGACGACGAATTGCCCATGTCTCCGTCCTCTTCCGGGAAGGACGACCGGGATCTCACGGTCACTCCCTAGGCGCACGCCTCCCCAGGTCGCCCACCCCAGGCCCTCCCCAGGCCCTTCCCAAAGCTCAAAGACTGGTCCTGAGACGCAGCACTGGTTCCCAGGCACCCACTGCCAAACGGCGGCGACGCACGGATTTGGCATGGCTTTGCGGAGGTCCCTGGCCCTGGGCAGCGCCAAGAGCTTGGCAGACCTGACCCTGGTACCCCTACCCCAGGGCCCACGGCCGTCCAAAGCGGACTCCAAGCTGTGAACACGCCAAATGCGAGAGTCATTCTCAACTACGCAGCACAGCGGCCCCGGCCCAGCGCCTTGCTGGCCGCCGGCACCTTCTCGCCCGTGCTCTCTGGACTGGCTCAGGCTTCCTCCACTCTCCTCCACCCTGGGTCAAGCTCGGCCTTCCACACCCCCTACCCCCACCCCCCTAACTTTTAAAAAACATCTTTCTCTCCCTGCCCACCTCTTTCTCTCCCTGCCCACCTCTTTCCCATGGTGGTTTATCCACACCCCAACACACACATTTATGAACCCCTGGGTTTTGTTTTTTGTCTTTTCCTTTTTCTTCCTCTTCTGGAGGAGCCTCCTCAAAATTCAGTGGGTCCATCTGTCCTTCCATCAGACCTTGCTGTGCCCACGAGTGAAACTGCCGCCCATGGTATTCGGGTTGGGGAAACCAATTCACTGTTTCAGAGACATTCTGCATTTCCCTAAACAGAGGCGCAGCTCTCTGCCTTTGGCGACCCCTCTTCTCCCAGCCCCAGCCCCGCCCCAGCCTAGCTTGTAATTGTATGGTCTCTGTAATACCAGAAGATATTTATTTATTTATTTATGTACAAAATTTTAAATAAACTTTTTTTTTCTTAGAAATCCACGTAGCTTTGGACCCCAGGCCAGGTTGGGGCTTCCTGCTGGGACAAGGTTGGGGACAGATGGTGGGGTCCAGTTCCACTCCTTGCCTTGCTACTTGTCAGCCCCTCTCTGCACTCTTAGCCCCCAGACTTCGGCTCCCACTTTCCGGAAGGGCTCCCCTGTCTCCTGTCCGGCTGGGGCCAGATGCATTCACGCAGGGAAAGCAGAGCCCAGTCCGAAGGGAAGGACAGAGCGCTCCAGGTGCTGTGCCTCTGGTCCTGCCCCTGCAGCAACCCGCTCCCGCCTGGGATCTGGCCCCACGTCCAGCCCCATCGGTTTGGCTGTCCCGATCACCATCCCCAAAGTCAGCGACCACACCGGCGCGAGCGGCAGAACTGACTCCTTTGCTAACTCGGATTAGTAACTTGTTACGGTGATCAGTCTTTTTGTATCTGTCGTATTTAGGGACAGATTCCCAGCAGAATGGTGCATCTTCCTCTCGGACAGACCCACTAGCTTTGGTCTGCGGCAAATTCCATTAGCGGGGTCCCTGCTCCCGCAGGCCACAATTTTGAGGATCCGGAGCGATCCCGAGCCGGGTTCCCCGCGAAGGGCCCTGCGTAGCCGGAGCCAGTGGCCCCGAGTCTCACCGATTCTTCTTACGATCCCACAGCCCCCTCCGACTTTGAATTTACACCCCAGCCCTCCTATGGAGATATGCGGGAGTTTTACGCGTTACGTGGTGGAGATTAAGGAAGTGCGTGGGTTCCGCGGAGGCGGAGGGCGCATGGCCACCGGAGTAGGCTGTTTCTGCTGCTCAGGACATCGGATACGGGAAACAGAGGATCCCGGTTCTCACGACCTCCCAAAGCATCCCATCCCGGATCCTAGAGGCCTGGGCACTTCCTTTCCTGCCAGAAATCTCTCCGCCACACCCACCCACCCCGGGGAGCTCCGGACGTGTTTAGGCAAAGCAAACACACGGGTTCCTTTCGCCAAGAAAGGTGCTCTAGCTGAGGTTACTCAACACATGAGGCCATTTCTAAAACCTTCGATCTTTTTCTTCAGATCAGGGGAGTTCAGGGCTCTGTCTCCAGCTCCCCTAGAATAAAGGCGGGCGCGATCTGGTTCCCCACGGAGAGGCCACTCCTGGTTCCTCCTGGAGTAGATGCCTGCGTTGTGCCCCCAAAAGATGAGAGCACCCTGTCGCCCATCTCGATCAGTCTGAACCCCGGTGTCACTGGAGACCAGTTCTCCACCCTTTCAGGAGGGGCACTGTGACAATATAAACCGAAGCCGGGGTGCTTTTAGGCATACCGTGAATAGAATACCAACTCAAGTGTTATCAGTGATTCTGACGCTCTTCCGAGTTTCACACGGCTGACTCGCTGCTCTAAGAGCCCCTCGGTGGTGCAGTTTCGCGTCCTTCAGCTCCACCGCAACCCACCAGTCTGCCCTTTGAGGTCTAGGATCCAGCAGCAGCAGGGCCCCCAGGGGACAAGTCCATGGTGGATCCTTTGAGCCAGCACCTTCCTTGGATTATGAGGAGGGGGTGCACCTGGGACAGGCTTTTGCTGGCTCTCAGTGACACACTCCTGGGCCAGAAAAGCAGTTGCAGAGGCAGGCTTGCCGGGGAGCTGCGGGGGTAGGGGTGGGTGCGTTATTGAGCGAGATGGAAACGGAGCTTGGAGCTTTATGAAGAAGTTGGTTCGCCCCCCCAACCCCAAGCTATCTCCCATCCCTTCAGTGTTGCCATCCTCTGCAGAGGCCCCTCCTGTCTCAGCTGCTGGCAGAAGCTGCAGACCCCCTGCTGCGCAACCTGTCCACACGGGTCCAGTTCCTCTGGGAGCGCGCCTATCTTCCTCTCAGCGTCCTCTACCCAAGGCTTCGTTTCCCCGTCCCGCTCCCAGAAAAACAGCCTTTTTGCTTTCTGGTGGGCTGTCCGGGAGAGCGCCAGGAGAAAACGTAGCCTCCTTGCAGCTGTCGCAGTGGTTACCCAGGCTGCGACAAGAGCGCGGCGCTGGGGAGCGTGGACGCGGCTGCAGCGTGCGGGTGGCTCCCGGCATCTATCCGTGACCTGCAGGGGCTGCGACCTGCTTTTGAGTCCCAACACGCTTTGGTTTGCACACTCCTTACTCTGCAGCCCTTCTAAGTCTCGTTCCAGACCAACTCCACTGCCTGGGTTGGGGCCAGGGCAGGGTGGGCCTGTGGGAACTGGAGCTTCTCATGTAGGGAGACAGAATCCAGTCTTTAAGCCCACCCTGCTTTGAGCTGGAATCTGGGGCTTGCAAGGCAAATTGTGAAATTAAAATCATACTGAGTTAACGGGACGAATTTCCTGGAAATTATCATTGTGTGACTAATCCACATAGAGACTTGAGTTTATTTCTGGGTCAGCATCTTTCTTTTCTTTGTGGTTTAGTGGTTAAGAGTTTGGACCCTAGACTCCAAGTGAAGGGTTTTGCAACCCATTTCCACCATTTGCTGACAAGCTGGGTAATCTTGGGCAAGCCACTGGGTCTCCCTAAGCCTCAGTTTCTTTGTCTGTAAATTGGGATTCTGTTCAGTTTCTTTGCAGGGCTGTCATGCAACAATAAAGGATGAAATCCACATAAAATGCTAAGCAGAAGGTCTGCCGAGTTTCAACAAATGTTAACATGGCTGTTGTTGTTTGCTGTGCCTGTAGCCGTGCATGGGGCATAGTTACTGAATGTTAGAAAGTGACCACTCACACGCAGGCTGAGACCAGAACTGAATCTACCTCTGAGGGGCTGGAGGACGTAAACAAATGCAAACATTCCCAGGACTCGCTGGAGTGAGCCATTCAGAGACTCAGTGAGGACGCCAGGCACTGCCCACGTGCTGAGAATCACTGAGGTCCACGCAGGGCCCTCTTCCCATTTAGACCAGTTCCTCAACCTCCTCGCTATCGACATTTGGGGCTAAATAATTCTTCCTTGTGGTGACTGTCCTGCACTGCACGTTGTAGAATGTTTTGAAGCATCCTTAGTTAGTCTCTACCCACTAGAGGCCAGTAGCACCCCTCTCCTGAGTTATGACCACCAAAAATGTCTCCAGACACCACCCAATGTCTCTGGGGGAACATTTCAGTCTGAGATCCACTCTCAGGTTGAGAAGTACTCCTTGAGACTCGTATACCTTCCGCTGAAGGCGGCCAGTCTGCAGGGGCCAGGATTTGGTAGCCTACTTCCAGGCACACCCTCCCTCTTCTCCTTCAGTCATCCCTCATGGAATACTTGGGCCTTCTTCACCAGGGCACTGACTGTGAGCTCAGCTCAGGAGGGGTGTGAGAGGAGGAGGGGGAAAGAGACAATGGGACGGGAGAGGAGACACTGAAGATGCTGACACAGCAGGAGCATGCCAGCGAGTCTGGACACCCTGGACATCTGGGTTGAAAGGGTGACTCAGTCAGAGGCGCACTGGGTGAGCAGAGTTTATAGAACCACCAGGGACTTTCCCAGAACATTCTATCCATTTGCCTCATGACCTGTAGACAGCTGGGCTCCCTCTGCAGTTATGCCCACGGGTACCCACAAGACCAAACCTTTGGGGGGGGAATTTCAGAAGCTTGAATGGTATCCCCAGTCACAGACACAGATACACGTGCGTGTGCACACACACACACACACACACTCACCACCACTATTACGGTTCTGTCTGGAACAAAACCTTATCTGTTTTGCCAACGTCTGTAAGTCTGAAACTAGAAATCAATTCTTTTTGACTAAGGTCTCCTATATTTGGTTCAGCACACGGACCCCTGAGAGGAGCTACCATTGAGCATGTTATTCACTTTTTCTAAGAAAAGACTCTGGAAGTGCAAAGGAGAGGAAAGCCCCTGGAGGTACAAGAGCAACAATGGAGGCAGAGGTCAGGGGGAGGGTCCCAGAAGCCTCCCTGGCCTGGGTCAGCAATGTCTGGGGCCACGTGCCCCCCGCCCCCTCGGACCTGAGCTCTAGGGCTGAGCAAGTGTGCTAAGCAGACCATTCCAGAACTGGACTCACCCACAGAGTCAGGAATAAGCTGCTTCCACTGAGGCAGTATCTTCTCCACCCAGAGATTCCCCTGTCTTGTATGTGGTGATCAACAAGTGGTCTTCTAATGCAGACATCCTAATAGAGGGTGTGTGTGTGTGTGTGTGTGTGTGTGTGTTGGAGAGGCTAGAACAAAGAAAGGAGGAGAAATTTGGTGGCCCTGGGAGGAGAACCAGGTTACCCTGCTTTAGATTGTGCTGTCACTATGAATCCAAGCCCTGATTCTTCCAGAAAGCTCCCTTGAAACATCCAAGAAATCCAAGGCCTTGAGCCTGACACCTCACTGCCTGGCATCTAGGTCTCCGTCTGTGAGTGGGCCTTCCTTCCCAGCTCGAGAGGAAGTGCGGCCAAGGCACACTGGGGAGGTGTTCAACTGGGCGTCTGTTTCTGGCAGTCGGGAGTGAGGAAGGTGTTGCACTCAGGAGCCCACCCGGAGCCGCCAGGGTCAGGGGCCAGGATCAGATCGGGTACGAGTGTGTGAGCGCAGGCTGGGCCAGGCGCCCT